ACACCTTACCTCAGCTGTCTTCTCGTATCCGAGATGCAAAGCGACTGTTTGAACTTTTTAGGGAACTGCCAGTGATGCGTTCCACGCAATACTATTGCCGTCTTTATTCACCATCATTCCAGTGGGCACAGCGTTCCCCGGCGTTTCAAATGGAAACACTCTTGGGCAACTAATTCCCCATCTTGAAGTCACGTTATATCTGCCCTTTAGGTTATATATAATACGGACTAACTATTATTGAGCGGTTGTGACATGGAGTTTAATGGACAGACAAAAGCAATGTTGAGCCGCGACTGTAACGCACGTAGTGTGTGTGCTGCGTTGTGTGTGATGTTGTGTGTGTGTGTGTGTGTGTGTGTATGTGTGTGTGTGCGTGCGTGCGTGCGTGCGTGCGCGCGTGCGTGCGTCTCTGTGTGTGTTCTTCTGATAGCGGTCTTTCGAGCCATTAAACTAAGTAATCGTTAGAAATGAAGAGATATATGATGAAGCGCGCAGCGGCCGCCCGCCCGTAATTTCTGTCGTGCCTCGTTATATGGTGTCGGTGTCTTTATTTCTCTTACTGTGTATATATATACAGGGTGCGAAATTAACGGGAGTCCGGAGTCAAATACTCCCTGATTTACTGTCGGACTCCCTGATTTGACATATGCAGGAGTCCGTGTGACTCCCTAAAAATTCTGCCATACTACTTCGCTCCGGAGCACGGCCTCGCGGAATTACCGTATTTTTTCAGCTAATGTCCAAAAAACATTTGACAGACGTGCAACCGCATGAATCTTAAAAATAAGCATATGCGTTATTGTTAATATCTTTAATTTTAAACCTCAGACTGCGGACTCCTTTATTTTGCTGCGGACTCCCTTTTTTTGAGGGTAGGGAGTCCGTTGGACTCCCGTGTTCAAAAGTTAATTTCTACCCCTGTAGTATATTATTATTTTATTAGCACACAACCGCGAATTGTTTCTTTACTGGAAACGACGTATTGGCGAGTGTTCTACCGAGAAGTAGGGTTCTACATGCTTTTTATGGTGAGCACAAGCATGTGGCGGTCCCTCGTGTGTCGTGTACTTTTTAAAGTTTATACATCTCTGAAACGCCGCTTTGCTCACGAAATCCTTTTACACATTCATCGATATTTTGACTTTACAACCGCATCGTTTTTTTATTGGTATTTGCAATACGTTTCGGTGCGCGTGATAAACCGAGCCCGGGTATTCAGTTGCAAAACAGCGCAAACAAAGTGTGATCTAGTAAGTAAGTAAGTAAGTAAAAACTTTATTTAACGACGGTAAAACATGTTAGGTACAGACACAATAAATTGGCGCGGACCTATCTTCCACATGGCCGTCTCACAGCAACAGAACGGTTAAATATTAAATAAATACACAATAGGTTGAAATACTTTGACTAAAATTGTACTGAGTAAGTAGAGCACAATTGGCCCTATTGATAGGGCAAGATTTTCTTTAGACGGACTTTAAAAGAAGAAATGGTGGGGGCATCTCGAACGTCAGGAGGTAAATTATTCCATTCAGATGCCGCCGCACACCGAAAAGATTTTCGTAGCATTTCAGTGCGTGCACGGGGCGGATACAAACGCGCTTCATCTGCACACACACACTACGCGTCCGTCTGGAGCTCACTTCATGTTTAAAAGTAAAAGAAACCGTCAAGATAGGCAGGTGCCTGCTTACGTAAAATTTTGTAAGTTAAAAGAGATCGATGGTAATAAAAACGTTGGCGAACAGTCATAAAACCTAGCTGCGAAAAGATTTCTTCAGTTCAGGCGTCTGAATGTCTACGAATGTTAAGAATCAACCGCGCAAAATGTTTCTGCAGGTTAAAAACTTTGTCAATATAACTCTTCGCGGCATTTCCCCACACAACAATACCATAATCAATATCAGGTAAAACAAAGCCAAAGTAAAACTTCAGGCAGGAATCATGATTTCCAAAACAGTGCCAGCTTTTTTGAGATCTTGGCACACACGTTCATTATGTGTTCTTTAAACGTGAGATTTTCATCAACATGGATACCTAAGATTTTCTCACTCGACGTGGTGGGAAGAACAGAGCCATCATAGACAGTATGGAGTACCGCGAATGGGAGCGTAGAACGATTCTGTCTGGAAGTGACCAGCATGGTTTTGGTCTTCGATGGATTGATGACCATTTTGTTTTTAGAACACCACTCACGAACTTTCTCCATATTGTTATTTAGACGCTGTTTCAGGTTAGGCAAAGATTTGTCAGTAACAACAACGGTGGAGTCGTCAGCATACATATGAATATTGGCATTGTTAATGTGCAGGAGCATGTCATTTATAAACATAATAAAAAAGAGGGGCCCCAAAATAGAACCTTGTGGGACACCAACGAATATGGGCACTTCAGCTGATAATGACCCATTAAAAAATACTCTGGAGTATCTGTTAGATAAAAAAACTCTCGAAAAATTTCATTGCTGCATCATCACATCTATACATTTTCAGCTTTTTAAGTAAGAGACAGTGATCAACGAGATCAAAGGCTTTACGAAAATCAAGTAGGAGAACTCCAGATAAAATATGTTCAGCTGAGTCGATGCATTTGTAGAAAACGTCAGTGAGGTTGATGAGAGCAGACTCACAGGAGAAGCCTTTCTTAAAGCCAGATTGATACTAGGATAAGAGATTGTGCTGTTGTAAAAATGAGTATAAACAATCATGCACATGTATTTCAAGGAGCTTGCTCAGGATAGGTAAGACAGATATAGGCCTAAAATTGTTCATGGCAGAAGTCGACCCAGTTTTGAATAAGACATATACTTTAGCGACTTTCCACTTGGACGGGAAACACATATACAACATACACATATTTAACACTTTTGCCAATGACGGAGCTAAGACATATGATCCGAGTTTAAGAAAACGCGCATCTATTCCATCTAATCCAACGGCCTTACCAGTGTCAAGGTCGGTGAGATACTGACTTGATCTTGACTTGATCACTTCACGATTGCTAGCCCAAAACATGCACTAGAGTGACTAGTGACTATACACGGACATATGACGATATAGGCAAATCTGTATACTGACGGGGCCGGAACGCCGACGAGACAAGAAAGTTCACTCATCGATATTCTTACATTGCAATATTATATAATATACATTGCAATATATATTACATTATATATATTATATATATAATATATATATATATATATATATATATATATATATATTATATATTATATATCTATATTATATATTATATATTATATCTATATACATTTTATTATCTATTATTATATTATTATTATTATATATATATATTTATATTTATATATATTATTTATATATTATATTATATTATTTTATATTTATTAATTAATTATTATTATTATTTATTATATTTATATTATTTATTATTTATATATTATATATCTATATTATGTATATATATATATAATATATTATATACATTATATAATATTATATAATATACTATATTATACTATATATTATATGATATATAATATATATTTACTAATTATATATATTATACGTTATATACATATTATCTATACACACGCAGTAACGTCCCCAACGTACTCCCCCTGAGACATGACTCGTTTGCGGTAGGCGTGTATGAAATCTGTTATTACTGACGGGGGCCGAGAACGCCGACGAGACAAGAAAGTTCAACTCATCGATATTCTTACATTGCAATATTATATAATATACATTGCAATATATATTACATTATATATATTATATAATATATATATATATAATATATATATATTATATAGTATATTATATATTATATATATATTATATATTATTAATATATAATATATTATTATTATTATTATAATATATTATTATATATTATATTATATATTAATATATATATTATATATATTATATATTTATAATAATTTTATTATATTATTATATTATTATTATTATTATTATTATTTATTTATTATATTAATTATTATTATAAGTTATTATATTTATATATTATTATATATTATATATTTATATTATATATATAATATATAATTATATATATATATATATTTATATATATATATATTACATTGCAATATATATTATATTATATACATATATATCTATACACACGCAGTAACGTCCCAACGTACTCCCCCTGAGACATGACTCGTTTGGACGTAGGTGATTTACCAGCTGTTATATTGTGTAGAGCTTCCCAGAGGAGAGGACATGGGCAATCTTGCGTTATTATTTTCTGTTAAGGCAGTGAAGCCGACCGACGATGAGAACTCGTGCAAAAAATTAAAACTTCTAGTGTGTGCCTATAGCAGGTAGCTGATAATGAATCGGAATTATTCTTTCACACCTAGCCGTCGGTGCAGCTGTGCGCAAAAGTTAACTCTCGCCCGTTTGCTCTCATCGTGTCTCGAGAGACTGTTGCTAATTTTACATGTTTCTATGCGGCTCTTACTGCGAATTTCACACTCTGTAAGCCGCAAAATCGACACTCGTGGTGTGCGGCGAAGTATATGTGTGCATCAAATGTGACGGATACTCGTTTTTGTTCATCGCTCCTCCAAATTCCGACGTTAGTTACGAGTAATTATAGTTATGAAAATTTGCGTTTTAGTTTGCTTTTTTCTAGTCGTTTTATAATTACGACAGCACTAAATTCGTGGATTGTCACGGTAAATTTTAGGAGTTGTTTGAACAGCTATAATGTATATATGCATGCGCTAGCAAGGCCAAAGATCGTCACTGGAACAAGCGTCTTTTTCTGTGCTGTTATTTCGCCGATCGATGTTGAAGACGCAATTTCCACGTTTTCGCATTGATCTATCCCTCATAGGCGGCTACTATAGCTATAGCACTTGACACTAAGGTTATCAGAGTCATATAATGCTAATATTACTAAAATCTGCAATTTTATATGTGCCGTGTACACTTTCGCATAGTTAAAAGTTAAAATTGTTTATCTTTTTTTCTTGAACCTACTTGTAGCTTGTGATTGAGCTGTCAAGGCAAAAGAACAGCCAACGACTACTTATTATCAAGCCACACACAGGTTCAAAACTTCCACCAGACAGATATTGTCTATTTGCCTGCAACTATAGGCAAAGGGGCAAAAGGGTGAGTCAATAATCATTGGTCATTAATTGCTGCCAATTGGCCTTCTTAATACGCTCTTGTTAATATAGTTTTGCATTTGTTTAGAGCATAATTATTGGTCAAATCTACTGTTATAGTCATGAATAAATGAGAAAAGTATGCAAGTCAAAACCTCTGACTTGCCTTTGATTAATGTAGGTTGGTCCCAGACTACAACTGGGTGTTCAAAGCATGACACCAAGGTTAAACATTTCACCTCAACAAGGTAAGTGTTTTAGTTTACTGGCAACAATATTAGTATCTTGATAATTTTAAATATAGTTTTACAAAGGGAAAAGGTAGAAAACATAGTAAAAGTATAGCTATAAGTATTGGTACTTTGCAACTTGTTGCCGCGTAGGTCTCACGTGAGCCGTATCAATGAAAAGGGGGAGACCTGGAGCTGGTGTCCCACTCTCGATGGGGTCCGGCGCAACAGTTTATTTATTAATTGTCGATTGCAAGATACAAAATACAAAGATTAGATTGTGTTTTGCTTGACCTTTTGAGTCCTGGAAAATGGACATTATAGCCCCTAGAAAATTCCTGGAACATGATTGGCCTTTTATGATGAACATGGCCATGATGAACATGGCAACCGAATTTGAATCTTACTTGTTGTTTTCTTGTTTTTCACTTACAGTAATTCATTTAACAGACTAGCTTTTAGTATAAAAAATATCCCGCATTACGAAAACTCAGGTAACGAAAATTTTCCATATTATACCTACTTTGGAACTTACAACCACAGCATTAGATACAACCACTCGTTTATACATAATTTAAAATAATAACCGCACAATTCGGGATGTGAAATGTAAATTCGCTGTTATGAAATTTTTCAAAAGATTGAGTGGGTTACTTTTCACTATAGGTGGCATGCTCAAATGCTGTAAATAAAAGTTATGTAATAAATAACACGTCAGCCAGCTGCCTGCTCTTCATCGGTACATGTAATATACATATTAAACGTAAAAATATGCTGTCATTACATCAGACAGTGTGGTTCATAGGGTCTATGTCCCCCAGTAGTACAGTAGATTAGAAAAAAATCGTTCAAATTGTGAAAAAAGTATGAAAATTGCCGAAACATTGCTACTTTTGTATGCTCTTTCATTAAAAACAGGACACCGCGATCCACCTACACTTCGGCCACCATCTTGATCAATGGGCCACCGTCATTTCTTAAAAAATAGCTATTTTTCTCGTTTTTATAATTTCAGTACAGACTTGAAAATTGACTGACAGACGTAATTTGGGTTACTATTTCATACAACAACGGGATGCATGTGATCAAGGCGTTTTCGGCCGCCATCTCGAATTCAAATGGCCCGCGTATTTCTTAAAACATAGCTATATTCTCGGTTAATCATCTTGTACAGACTTGAAAATGACTGACAGACTAATTGGGTACTTTTCATACACAAAGGATGCATGTGATCCAAGGGCGTTTTCGGCCCCATCTTGAATTCAAATGGCCGCCCGTCATTTCTTAAAAATAGCTATATCTCGTTGAATAATCTTATCGATACGCGACTTGATAATTGATGACAGACGTATTTGGCGTTACTATTTCAGTACAACACGGGATGCATGTGATCAGGGCGTTTTCGGCGCCATCTTGATTCAAAATGGTCGCCGTCTATTCTTAAAAAATAGCTATATCTCGGTTAATAATCTTTCGTACAGACTTTGAAAAAATTTACTGACAGACGTAATTTGGCGTTACTATTTCAACAACAACGTGATGATGCTGATCAAGGGCGGTTCAAAACTGGCCGCATAAAATTACACAACTTAGCAATATTCCCAGGTCTCACGGAAGATATAGAGACGCGAAAATTTAGCCGACGTCGGCGGCAGGTTAATACCCATCGGCCAAGTTCGACACGTTGCCGTATCCAACACGCGTTCTGGGCAGACGATGGCAAAAACACGGCCATTTATCGTGTGAGTTCTAAACACGCATTTTCAACGTGCCGTTCTTCAAGTAAACGCGGACGTGTACACAAGCAGTTCAAAACTCACGGCGCGCGAGCACGCACGCACGCACATAACAGATAGCTATACGCCGCGAGAACGCACGCATGCAGCATAACAGATAGCTATATACGGCGCACGAGCACGCACGCACATAACAGAAGCTATATACGCGCGCGAGCAGCACGCACATAACAGCCGTACCTATTACGCGCGCGAGCACGCACGCACATAACACGGCGTACCTATACGCCCGCGAGAACGCACGCATGCACGCACATAACAGATAGCTTATATACGGCGCGCGCGAGCAGCACGCACATAACAAGGTACCTATACGCCCGCGGAGACGCACGCCACATAACAGATTAGCCGATACGCCCGCGCAGCACGCACGCACATAACAAGGTACCTATACGCCCGCGAGAACGCACGCACGCACATAACAGATAGCTATATAACGGCGCGCGAGCACGCACGCACATAACAGGTACCTATACAGCCGCCGCGAGAACGCACGCAATAATAGAAGCTATATACGCGCGCGAGCACGCACGCAGTATAACAGGTACCTATACGCCCGCGAGAACGCACGCAGATAACAGGTAACTATATACGCGCGCGAGCACGCACGCACATAACAGATATCTATACGCCCGTTGAGAACGCACGCACGCACATTAACAGGATAGCCTATATAGCGCGCGCGAGCACGCACGCACATACACAGGTACCTATACGCGCCGCGAGAACGCACGCACATACAGAAGCTATATACGGCGCGCGAGCACGCACGCAATAACAGGTACTTATACGCCCGCCAGAGACGCACGGCACGAACAAAGCTATATACGCGCGCGAGCACGCACGCACAAAACAGGTACCTATACTGCCCGCGAGAACGCACGCACGCACATAACAGAAGCTATATACGCGCACGAGCACGCACGCAGCATAACAGGGTACCTATACGCCCGCGAGAACGCACGCACATACAGAAGCGATATACGCGCGGAGCAGCAGCACCAGCACATAACAGTGTACCTATACGCCGCGAGAACGCCACGCGACGACATAACAAAAGCTATAATACGCGTGCGAGCACGCACGCACATAAAGGATACCATATACGCCGCGAGAACGCACGCACGCAACATAACAGATAGCTATAATACGCGCGCGAGCACGCATGCACATAACAAGGTTACCTTATACGCCCCGCGAGAACGCACGCAGCACATAACAGATAGCTATATACGCGGCGCAATCACGCACGCACATAACAGATAGCTATATCGCGCGCGAGCACGCATGCACGCACTTAACAGATACCTATACGCCCGCGATAACGCGACGACATAACAGATACTATACTGTACTACAAGTACTATATTTGTGTTTGTGCATGCAGAGGTACATGTTACCGGCACTGAGTGACAATCTGCGACAACTTGTGCGACAATGCAGTTTCGAGACATTTGTGTTAACTTAAACAATAGTATTATAGCTTGCCATGCATGTTCTTGTGTACTGTATACTACAACTTGTTGTCTTGAATTATCTCTCTCTCACACTGGGGATTCCGATTGCCAGTTTGGCATTGTGTTTGTTATATACTGAGAAAAATCGGTAATTCAACATTTTCACCATGTTTGTTTGTATCGTTATACTATGTCATTGATCATTTTGAAGTACAAAGATAAATGTGCATGGCGGCCATGTTGAATTCAATAGGCGCCGCTGTAATTATAATTGGAACTTGTGTGTCTTGTTTTAATATGAGAGCTTATTAACCTGCGCCAGTCTGCAAATTTTCACGTCTCTATATCTTCCGTGAACGAAAAAATTGCTAAGTTTGTAATTTTTATGGTGGCCATTTGAATCCAAGATGGTGGCCAAAAACGCTTTTGGATCACATCATCACGTTGTAGTATGAAATAGTAACCCAATTACGTCTGTCAGTAAATTTTCAAGTCTGTACGAAGATTATTAACCGAAAATATAGCTATTTTTAAGAAATGACGCGCGGCTATTTTGAATTCAAGATGGTGGCCGAAAACGCCTTGGATCACATGCATCCCGTTGTGTATGAAATAGTAACCCAATTACGTCGTCAGTAAATTTCAAGTCCGTACGAAGATTATTACCGAGATATCGCTATTTTTAAGAAATGACGGCGGCCATTTTTGAATTCAGGATGGCGCGGCCGAATCGCCTTGCACTCCGCCCCTCACCTAAACTTCCGAGCTCCCTTCCCACATGCCTTCTGCCCAACAGACTAACCCCGCCAAAAACAAAAAAAAAAAAAAAAAAAAAAAAAAAAAACAAAAAAAAAAAAAAAAAAAAAAAAAAAAAAAAAAAAAAAAAAACAAAAAAAAAAAAAAATACCGATCACATGCATCACGTTGTGTATGATAGGTAACCCAATTACGTTCTGTCAGTCATTTTTCAGTCTTGTACGAGATTATTAACGAGATATAGCTATTTTTTAAGAATGACTGGCGGCATTTTGGTTCAAGATGGCGGCGACGTTTGGTAGGTGGATCGCGTGTGTCGCTGGCGCTTTACATAAAGAGCACATACAAAGTGATGCAAGGTGTACAATTGTTTCACACTTTTTTCACATTTGCGAGTTTGTGATTTTGATCCTAACCGACTGTACTACAGGATACTATCGGAAAGTACCCTGCGTACGGTTCGATATATCGGAACGTACCCTGCATGGTAACTATCTGATATGGATAGGGTTAGGGTTAGGGTCAGGGTTAGGGTTAGGGAGTAGGCGTAGGCGACTTCCTAGACTCGTTAGCGGAGTAGGCGAGGTACGGTCCGGCATATTAGATAGTACCAGGGTACGTTCCGATATATCGAACCATACACAGGGTACCCTCCGATAGTACCCTGGGGGACATATAGACCCTCTCAGCGACAGTGTGACCTATGTGCGTATGGTTTATGAAATGTGCATGTTTCTAAAATCAATCCCCCTGCAGCTAGTGTTATTTCAATAGTGGTTAACAATAACAACATCCTCAGATAGGTCCTCAATATCCTTCAGCAAGTAGAGATAGAGCGTGGGAAGTTAACTCGCAGTACTACCAGTGGACTAACCCCCCACTGTACATAGTATTTACTGTTAAAGCAGCTGCGTGGACTCGGGTCTAGGGAAGGAAACGGAGATAGGCACCGCCCTATGCGCCACATAGGCATGGGAAGGATGTAACTTTAACTAACAACATCATCAGC